TAAGGGCAAAATGGAAGGCAACTGGAAGTACAGAACTATGATTAAGGAGACACAGACCTTACAGTCATCAAGAACTTGAGATCTGCAGCCATAAATTGATTGGGATCGGTTTGCCAAATGCCTATTGAGCAGCTTGTGGACATGGTGGAAAGAATGTCAATGAGGTTCCCTGTCCTCACTGAGCTTCTGCTCCAGCAAATAAGAACTCTTAGGGAGAGAGGATACAAGCATTTTTTTATGTATGTACACATATACACACACATACACACATGCACAAGTTAGAGGAAACCAGACAAATGCAAGAACTATACAACAAACCCACTGACACACTAAACAAAAGCCAGCATTTAGACCCGCCTGTCAGCTTTCACCCTACTCTGCCCCAATCTCATGGCTCTTCATTCCCCCACAAAGTCCTCCACTTTACCCTATACAAATTCCCTATATCTTCCCACCTGTGGCCTTTATACTTAGCAGCATAGCACAGTGGCCAAGAGACTCTGGAGCCACAGTGCCTGGGCTCAAGCCCTAGCTGAGCCACATGACTTTGGGCAAGTTGCTCAATCTCTCCATGCTTCAGTTGCCTCACACATAAGATGAAAATGATGGTGGTACCTTCTTCTTGGGCTGCTGTGTAGTTTAAATGAGTTATAAAGTGTATAAAGTGCTTGGAATGGAGACCGGTACAGAGTTGGTGCCCTGGAAAGATAGGCTGTTGTTATCACTCTGTCCACCTGAAATTCTTTCCACTTTCCTCTCTGCTGATCCAAATCCACTGTCTTTTAAGGAGCAAACACAAAAATCTTACCTTCCATTACTACACTGATAAGTTCAGTTCCAGCATGCATAATAACTGAGGGCGTACAGTGTACTGTGCTTCAGGAAAATCAAGATGAATAAGACCCAGCCCTGCCCTAGAGATCCCTGTGCATATAGGAGGATAAACAGACATTCTGAAAAGAATCATCACTCTCATCCAGCAGGAACTGTGAATTGGTATTACCCATTAAGTGCCCCCTCGTCAGATTTTACCTTACTCTGCTGACTTTCCTAAAGCAGTTGAGTGTCCAATTCATACTGTGCTATTCTGCAGCAAAAGTGTCTGCTTTGTGTTCTCTGAAGTTTCCACAAATCACCTTCAACATGCTCAGTTTGATGGGGAGATGCTCATTCTGGGACTGAACCTTTTATCTGTCCCTCAATCACCTTTTACCAACAGGTATTTGACAGGTGCATATTAACGTTTGTGGTTGGTTGGGACATTCAAGCCCTTCCAGGAGAAAATTCCTAAGGCCTGGGAAGATAGATTTCAGGTAAGACATGACTTTGGACTACCTAATTATTGCTGAGTTCTTTCCATATGTTCTTGGTATATATAGGACACTACACAAAAACAGGCTAGTGTATTAGTAATAACAAATTACAGGAACATTTTTAAGGCTTTCATGTGCCAGTGAAAAGTGCTCTATATATTTCATTTAATCTTCCCAACCACCCTATAGAAAGGTATTATTGTTACCCCACTTTACAGTTGATGAAACTGGCATGCGAAGAAGCCCAATAGAGCAAGGAAGAGGTACCAAAAGGTAGTTCTTCTAAAATTTGGGAAGGAAGTGGGGGCAGCCACACTTCATTCTTCTGCCATGTCTGAATATCTGATACAATCAGTACATTTTCAGATTCACCCAAAAGGAAAAGGCCCGAGTTAAAAGATTAGAGAGCCCCCTTCCTAAAACAGCCCACCATCATCCCACCAATCCAGTCTCACTGAGATCTCATTGCTCTTCCAAAACTAGCAACATCTCCAAAAGCAGAGAACCGTCAGGGGCAGAACTAACAAAAAATATACAGCCAACTCATTTTTACCTTGTAGAGTTTATATTGAAGGTTTGCAGAAATGCACTTGTTTCAGCAAAGCTTAAATAAGGCAGTGCCTCAATCTAGGAGGAAGGAGAAAGAAATGTACCCCATGCTGACAGGAGAGGAAAGGCTGCTGGGGTTCATTTTATTTTTAAACCTTTAACACACTGATTTCTGTTACTACCCTGCTATTGTGAAGTTCAAGCAAACAGAAGCTCAAAGGAATACTGAAGACACAGGAAAAGGGGACCAGGGACTCTCCAAATTAACTTTACCCCAGTCCCATCCCAAAGAAAAACCTGGTTCTCGATAGCCTCTTCTGATCTCAGCAATTCATGTGGCAAGGAACTCATTTCAGAAATGCTGAAATCAAGATTCTTGATACACCTAAAATAATAATACACTCAACTATTAAAAATAGTCTGGGGTACCCCACCAAAAAAGGATCCTAAAAAATGAGGAGCAATCACAATAAAAAATCATTCTCATAGCCATAGTCTTGGAAAATTCCTTACTCATTCAGCTCCACCTCTGAATGTTTCATTCAATCCACTGGTAACAAGTTTGGGGTCAATTTGCCTAGCACAGTGCAGAGGCACCTGCAGTTCCTCAGTGGTGTGAAGAGTGAGGAACAGCACAGGTAATCAACGTGTGTAAACAAGAATCTGTGGCACTGAAAACAGTGCAGGGAGGGGCTTGGGAAGAAATCTGAGGTCACTGGATGGCAAAGGTGACATCCCCAGGAAATGCCTCCCCCTACCAATTAATTTTCTATCTCTATGCCAATAAAACTGCAGGAGCTGCTAAGCAATTTCATCACTGCCTCTCACTTATTGAATTTCTAATTCATTATAATCTAACATGTCCAGGGTAACCTACATCCAACAGGTGGAGCGAATTTCTAAAATGATGCCGTAGGCACCACAGAGCTGCCCTCAATAGAGTGGCCAAGTCCAACAGCAACATCACACAATGAGACGTAAGATGAAAAAACATCTCCGATTCCAACCCCAAACTGTCATAGAAAAGACATTAAAGTTCCCCAAAGATAGGAATACTCCAATTCCATATTCCAGATAACAGATCCATGATTTTGTTTCTACGGATTTTTTTATGAAAATCTTATTAAACATTCTGTTGGGGCACAAATGGAAGCTCATTTGATGCCCTAGAGAGATATTTCAAACTACCGAAAGTGAAATAGCAAATCTTCTAGTACAGTAAACAATGTAAACACATTCTGAGAGAAAGCATTGTGAGTAAATTAAATCAACTAATATTTATCTAGTACCTGGGCCTTAATACTGAGATGCCCCGTCAGAGAACTCCCATAACTGAGCTTTCTGTGAGAAGCAAAAAGATGCAATGAGTCTTCCTGAAAAATAAGCAATTAATCACATACTCCATCAGATTAATTGCAGTGCCTAGGATGTTCCACATCATTCTCCTTCTGCCCCTAAAATCTAACTCCCCCATGTCCTCCTCTGGTTTTCAGATCACTGATGAACACCCAAAGTGAGCTTTCATTCTGACTGAGTCAGCCCACCATTATTAACCAGAACTACAAGTCCCCACACATCTCCTTCTGGTTCGATTTGTGACCTTCAGTGTGCTGTGTGTGTCAAGGTTATACTGCCCACTAACCACGCATCCTTTACCATTGGGCCTCCACTCCTGCCCTGCTCTTCAATGCCAAAGCAAAACCTCCCAGCCTTGCTGGGCCATCTCAGACCCATCCGACAGCACATTCAACAGCTAGTTAGATTGCTGCTTCTCCTACCATCACCCAGATTGCTTTGGGTGGTGGAGCAAATCAGTCTGAAACCCAAAACCTTCAAAATCCACCTGAATTTAAGCACAGACTTCAGTCAAAGGAATAAAGAGCAGCTCAACATCTTTCAACATAACCAATTCTCTTGAATTCAGTCATAGCCCACAATCCTATCTCACATCAAATGCCCAGTTCCCCCATAAAAATCTTAAACCTTTTCAGGAACCTTACTGTCAAAAGAGTACCCATGGGGAGACACCACCCAGGAACCAATACAACATCCCTTCAAATCAATATCTAAGCTACGAACACAGCAAATAGGGAGAGAAAGCTGCCAAGGAGAAAATCAAATTCTGCTTGTCTCTAAGAGGGCAGCAACTAATTACCCAACATTACCCCCAAGAGCCTCAAAGTGAGGGAGCCAGGGCATCTGGGCAATAACGTAGCTAATTAAAACCTTCCTGGTGAACTTGCTCCTCTGAAAATAGAATGTCATCGAGCTCCCACATCCACAGACTACTACTGCATTTTCAGAAATTCTAGAAGGCTGGGAGGCAGGACCCTCCAAGCTAAGCACCGTGCTAATGCGTTTTTCAATAGCTTTGATAAGAATGAAAAAAGACCTACTAAGTCAAGAGGTTTACCATGATATTTTTATTTCTACTTGCTAGTCTGGTTTGTTTGGTTTTTCTTTTCTCTTTTCTTTTTCCTTTAAAGCTCAGTTTCTGTGAATCAGTGTCTTGGCTGTATCACACTCCCTCCTGGTGGCTCACAGTAACGGGGCTTTCTCTGCCCGCCTGTGCTCTCCCAGCTCAGAGAGGCTCAGCTGCCAGATCCCTGATCTTGCAGCATACTTGGAGAGGAGCCGAGCATCATCTCTCTGTTAGAGCTCTAGTTCAGCCACTTGCAGCTCAGTTAAACCCATCAGGAAACCTCTAGCTTATGAGACACGGTTTTTAGGATTCTTCCCATACAGCCAAGATAGCAACCATCCACCCACTTGAGACAGATATATAGATGGAGATAAATGGGCAGCTCATCTTAACTCCTGCATGGTTCCTTTTTGACCAAAGATCTGCACTGCTAGAAATCTCCCACTCTCTCCTCGCCCTAAGAGAAGACCAAAGACTGAAAAACTAACCCAAAGTACCAAATTGACAATTAGGATGCCACGGACAGGAACAGGTATCTTAAATACTGTGAGATGAGAATATTAACAGTCTAGCCCATCAAAGCCCAAACTGGTAGAGTGCTTTCTGAATGCAAGCAGATCGGCAGCTTCCCTCGCCGCACTCCCCCCACCCTCCCACCTTGGCTCTGTAAGCCATGCATCCATGCAGCTCCCTCGGAAAGTCAGATTTTCACTTACTCAGATCTACCAAGAATCCCCAGTGCCTTGCTGTACGAAAACCCCACAAAAGGCAGTTCTTCACCAGAGAAACCCGAGGGGCTCAGCTGGCACGGAGAGGATGAAACCCACGAATTCTTCTCTGGTTCATCAAAATTGGAGATGTCATCGTCAGACTTGAGGGTGGGAACGAAGGGGGGAGGAGCTGGTTAAAGAAAAACAAGAAGAGGGGAGAGAGAGAAAAATTCAGATGGATTCCACACTGTTGCGGAGAAAAGCGTCTTACTCCTTCAGCGTTGGCGACAGCACTGCAGCGCCTGCTTTCAATCTAGCTCCTCACACAGGCAGACCCAGCCTCAGCTGCTACAGCAACAAGAGATTAACCCCTTCCCTGCCAACATGGCCACCAACCCGCAGACAAGCTGCCTGCCCAGCTGGGGTAAAGTGAAGGATAAACTCAAACAGATCACTTGGTCCAAGGAAAGCGCTTGGACAACTCTCTGGAGGAAGTCACTCCTTCCTGATGTCTCCAGAAGGCTTCCACAGAGCATCAGCTGGCTAGAGTCAGGATGTCAGACGACCTAAACCCATTTAGTCCCTGATCCAGTCTAAATTATTAATATTTAGTGCTAATCTTAGTGAAGAATGGAATATCTGTATCTCATGTATTAACCAGAATGAGAGGAAGGAAGGGGAAAGGGGACTTATGAGGTTGTGGAACTCACATTAGGACACCACTGCAGTCTAGTTCATTCATATCCAGTGAGTCTACTCAGATCTTATTAATCACTTTTTTCTTAGTTCATTATCCCTCCTCCCCAGCGCAATCATGCCCATGGAATCCACTGCAGTTTAATCAGCATAATGAAACATCAGCCAAATAAAGTTCCTCCCGGTGATTTACAGCACCCCGCTCGCTGATGATGGGACGCACTGATGGACATCTGCGGCACGGTTCCTACCTCCTTACGGCATGACTCTCGGCTCAGGACACATCACATCCTCTCTGCCTTCTGCCAACCTACTAAGCTGTCTCTGTCAGGGAGGTGGACACCTGTCCATCAGTCACCAGGAGGCTGCCCATCCTCAAGGGCTCCGGGGGGTGTCTCCGGCCACAAGCGTTACCATGGCTGCGGGCTGAGGCATCCGTGGTGGGCAGGCTGGGGGACGGAGGGCGAGCCGGCATCACATCCCCCGCAGTGCAGGTTGCATGTCCCCAGTCTATGGTGAGTGCTCTGGCTGGAACCCCCACCTGGCCGCCTGCATGGCAGGGGCCAATGCCGATTTGAGTGACAGAGCAGCATGAGTCACTGCCCACCAGGGCTCGCTAGAGCTCCCCCTAGGACAGTTGTCACAGCCCTTCATGGCCCAGACTTTTTTAACTCCTCGTGTTCTGGACCAAACTGTACACCAGATACGAGCAGCAGTCTGTTTTCTGTTTACAGACTCAAAACAATCCGGCTGTTTCCAAAGCTCCCTCAATGACAACAACATCTGAAGCAGTGCTGAGAAGTGACTGTAGCAGTGAAAGGTTGTGCAGGAGCAAGGAGATGAAGCCAGAGGTCTGGCTGCTCCGGGGAAGTACAACAGAACATTCTCAGAGCTTCAGGTACATCAAGATGAAGTGGGAGAGGGAGAGAGATCAAAAATGTAAAATGTGCACTACCAGAAAATTATTTAACACCTCCAAGCTCTCTCAAGGGAATTTAAATCATCCCTGTAAGTGTCAGAATCTACTTGCTTCATACTTTAAAAATTAGCTGATGGAAAGAATATTTAGATCGAATGCTTCAGCCCACATCCCTCAAGGACTTCTAGCAATATAAGCTCAAATCAATCTGATTTCAATTATTCAATATGTTTTTAAGCAAAAAAAAAAAATGTTTAATGAAAGTTACAATTCATAAAGATGAAAAAAACAAGTTTTCCATCTCAAAATAAGGAGACTCAAATAAAGATAGGAACTTTATGGAGAGAGATTTGCAGATGACACTGATAAGGAAGCACAGTGGTTAATGGCACGTGTGCTGGAATCTACTGACTTCAAATCCCAGCTCCACTACTTACAAGCTCTGTGACCTGAGAAAGTTACTTCTTCAACTCTCTGCACCTCGGTTGCAACAAGGAAAGACCTATCTTAAAGGCTCTGGAGAGGTTTAAAGAAAAGTTATATATAAAACACTTAGCACAGCTTTTAGCATATAGTAAATGCCCTATAAAGATCACCTGTCATTATTATTATTGCTCACATGAGGTGTAGGTTTATGGCAGATGCTGCAATTACTAGAGGCTGGAATATGGCAGAATCTGCATTAAATACTCATTCCTTTGCAAGGCACAGACACATCAAGGTGAATGTTTATGTTAATCCTATTATATCATTTAATTCCTAGCAGAAGTTTAAATCCCTTTCCACTATATACTAATTTATCTTTGGAGGCTAAAATAGAATCCCATTTCTGAGTAAGGAGTATGATTAATAGAAGGGTAGGAGCCACCCTCTGTGAAGTAATTATGATTTTTTGGAATTTCTGTACCATAAAATAAGATTCATCTATAAAATTCTATCATGCTCAAAGCGAGCCTAATGTAGGCAAGATCAGAAAGAGGGCTAGATAATTTTCAAGCGAAAAAGAAGATGTCAACATGAAATACACCAGCTGGTAACAGGTAAAGCTAGGGTGTAAACCTCAAACAGGAAGTTAGTTAAGTACAACAGAGAACTGTAAGAAGGGCTTCTTAGGACCACAAGTATGCAGGGGGAGAAGCCATAGCCTCAAGCCAAAGAGAAGTGGAGAAAGTGAAAATACTCTCCAGAAAGTGATAAGGATGCTCACCCCTGTCCAAGGCCCTTTAGTGGTAAAGAAATAAGGTCACGATCAAAGAGATGGTAACCTCAGACAGGATTTCTACATTTACAGTTTCCTGTATGGTGCAAGAACCACAATGCAGGCAATTAACACGAACATTGGCCCAGGAACACTGAGCCCTCTGAACACTGGCAGACACCAGTGGAAAATGACGGGGAGGGGCACTTTCACAAGCCAGAGCAAACAGGACCATAAAAAGACTGACACACACTTCTCTCTTCTCTTTTGTTCTCCCTCTACCCCTGCTTCTGTTTCTACTTTTGCTGCTGCTGCTGCTCCTGTTTCTACTTTTGCTGCTGCTCCTCCTCCTCCTCCTCCTTCTCCTCCTCCTCCTTCTCCTCCTCCTCCTTATTCTTCCTCTTCCTTTTCCTCTTCCTCTTCCTCCCCCCCTTGTTCCTCTCTCTCTCTCTCTCTCTCTCTCTCTCTCTCTCTCTCTCTCTCTCTACTGGAAATGAGTTCAGAGTAAAAAAGTAAAACCTACAATAACAACGAAAAATAAACCACTCAAGGATATAAACTACCATAAAGGACCATCAGCAGGTACATGAAAGGGAAGAGTTGGCCCTACAAAAACTGTAGATAGAACAATCTAAAATGGATCCAAAAGTAAAATCTATTACCAAGGTAAACAAGTAGGGATTCTGACCAAAGAACTGAGCACATTTGAATGGAACCAAGCAGAACTTCTAGAAATAAAAAGTATTATTATTGAATTTAAAGTTTAAAACTTACTCACTGTGTCAAATAGCAAATTAGATACAGCAAAGAGAAACTTCGTAAACTAGCAGATGGATCTGAGAAGTCACATGGAGCCGTGATATTCAAAGTGTGGTCAGCTGACTGGTAGTATCAGTATCACCCAGGAGCTGGCTAGAAACGCAGATTCTCAGGCCCACCTTACACCCATTCAATCCAAATCTACATTCCAACAAGATCCCCAGGAGATTCACATATGCACTATAACTCAAGAAGCACTCTGAGAAGGAAACATGAGTGCTCAGGAGACAAAGACAGAACAAGAAGGTTCAATACACTCCTAAAAAGGGCACCAAAAAGAGAGTAGAGAACTAGCTTAAAATCTGAATGCCACATTTTTAAAAGCTTATGTAAAACCTGGTCAAATCTAAAACCTACCAAGTATAAGACCATCTCTAGCTTGGAGGGCTAATTCTCCTATTTCTTATGCCTTCTGGAAGATGTTTCTCTTTTGATCCTCATAAAACATTTTTGTTTTGGTTTGGTTAGAGGTTATTTTGTTTTGCTTTCCTTTAAAAAGAGGTACAGGGCTAGGGATATAGTTCAGTGGTAGAGTACAGTACTTCCCTAGCACGCACAAGGTCCTAGGTTCAATCTATTGCTACAAAAAAAAAAAAAGAGGGCACTAATAGGACATTGAAATTATACTGACTGGCTTTGAGTCTATGTTGATGGAGGTACACATAGCACCCCAGCATACTGCATAGTGCCAGACGCACAGTAAGTACACAATAAATATTTGTCGAGCAAATATATAATTAAATGACTAGGGCTTGGGTCTTGAAAAGAGAACACCTAGCATAAAATGGGCCACAAAGAAGGTACTTGATGTTTGAATTAAATGAAGAAGCTTTAAAAATTGACATTGTTCTGTCTGAAAAATATGTTAATGAGTGCCTATATTCATAGTTCCTGATACGGTACTTTGAAATCATCAGCTCCCCTTGCCGACACATACCCACCACATTCCTTAATGACAAATAAGAAGTCATATATTAATCTTTATTGCTCATTGGTAAAAGCCACTGAGAAAAATAGGGGAGAAAAAGTCCTTTCATGTATATATATTATTTAAAAAAAATAAAACAGCCTATTTGAGGTGACGTCAGGACACATTCTCCTTGGTGGCAGAAGCTACACAAGTAACTTTTTGAGAGTTTTTTCTTTTTTCCAGTTATAAGAGATGGCAGAACAAGGTTTGCAGAAACAAAGAGCTTTTGGAGGGGTGGGGGGTACCTGGGATCGAACTCGGGACCTTGCGCTTGCGAGGCAGGTGGTGGCACCAGTGAGCTAAATCCCCGGCCCAACAAAGAGCTATTTTAAGAGCTGCAGTTAATTTCTCTTCTATAAATTCCTTCTTGCTTCCTTTTTTAAATCTTGACATTCATTAAAAGCTTTGGGGGGGGGAATTTATCATCTTCAAAAATATTTTCTAAAAAACAATGAAAGAAGAACCAAATGGATTTGTCCCCTTAGCTCTGGTTCTTTCTAACATGCTCCACTGAGTTGTGATTACACATTCCCACCTTTAGTTTTTTAGCACACAACACAAACATTTTTTTTTTTTTTTTTGGTACCA